AAGTTTAACGCCACTTGTTGTTAGCCCTTAGTCAGCTGCAAAACTTCCCCTAACATATGTGAACTTTGGCTGGAAATGGAAGTACTAGATAAGCCTGGTTCTGAAATGAGTTAGAAACTTATTGCAATGCAATGAGTTTACTGCAGCTTCACCGAGTCCTTGCACCGAGTTTGCATCCTGCAACACTCCTCAGAGCATGGAGACAGATCCCCAAACCACTCCAGAAAGCTCTTTCACGTGCTCACCAAGTGACCTTTGAACATGCCAGCATCTGCCATCTCTCACTGAAGTGGAATTTAGAGTAGCCCGAGCTAAGCTCCCAGTCCAGCTCTTCGGTGGCGGATACGGTTCTGCTCCGATGAAACGGGCATCAAATAAACTGCCCTCTCGGATTAGTGCATCTGTGCAACTCTCTACTTATAGCCGGTTTAGAGATGTAACGGGTGTACAGCACTGGGTGTGCTGGTGTGCATTTCACCCTTAAAGCTGTCTGTCTCCTGTGATGGTTTGCAGGCAACCATCAGGGCCCAACTGAGTCATCAGGCTTGCAGCTGGCACGGAATATACAAGGCTATTTGGTTTTAATGTTAGTCCAGTTTCCTGGGAGACTGAGAAGCAACTGGATTACTGCAGTTTGCTCTTAGCAGCACTTCTGCAAACATCAAAGGAAATCAGTACTTTCCATTTTATGATCCATCAACTTCCCACCTGCAGATATTCCATGCAGTTTCCTGGTGTTTTTAGATGGAACAGTGCTCACAGTTACAGCATGTAAACTACAGAAATGACAGTGCTGTCTTGCATTTTATGTGAAGTTTCCTATTTTAGCAGTTTTCTTTGCAAGACCCAAGTCCTGGAGTCAGGCAGTCCCCTGAGAATCTTTCTTGTCATCTCGTGAGAAAGAGGAGAGCCAGTTTGTAGCAGTTGTCACTGTGCAAAAAGTCCAGGAAACATGAATGCTAAAAGTGAGAAAAAGATTCCAAACCAGCAGCTTGTTGACTTGGCAAAGAAAGAGTAAAAACTGGCTGAGAAAATAAACAAACAGGCGCGACTGACTCTTAAGTGGTGACTGAGAGAAACTCATGGACACGTAGGCACGCTTGTCTTGGGAATGACTTGGCAAAGAAAGAGTAAAAACTGACTGAGAAAATATGCAAACAGGCGCGTGACTGACTCTTAAGGGGTGACTGAGAGAAACTCATGGGCACATAGGCACACTTGTCTGTTTTATGAGGTTGGTCACCCAGTGTCTTTTGCCCTTTGCCCGAAGTCGTGGTGGGCAGGGTTCCCCTTCTAAACATCAAGTTGAAAGGCTTTGGCAGAGCATAACCTGCAGCCTCTGCTGTGGTGGCATCACGGTGACATTAGAAGCAGAAATATGATACTGTAAAATGTCTGAGATGGGTTGGAAAGGGGGCTTGCGTCAACTAGGCTTATTCATGTTTTGTTATCAGCCTGACCGCCTCCACGACAACTGTCAAATTACTGTTTTGTTTTGGTTTTGCTTTTTTTTTTTTAAGTTTGCAAAGTGGAGCTGGAGTACACAGAATCTGAATGAGCTTGTTTACCAAATCATTTAAAGAAAATTAAGTCTTGCCCTTTCAGGAATATATCCACAAGGCTGTCTGTCCTCTAGCTCCTAAACTATCTCTTTATGGTGTATTTTGTATTTTATCCAGTCTAACCTATAAAATAGGCTGGACTAGATAAATTATATCTAAGCTGCATGATCTGCCTAGCTGTTACACCTGATGTGCTTTCATTCTTACAGCATTAGGACTTCATGCCTCTTGCTGGATATTATGCTCTTAGCACCCTAGAAGGCAAAGTTTTAACCCCTTTTTCAGACAGAGACTGATGATACAGGAGTTTAATGCCTTTCTCATGGTTAGAAAAGTAAGTGGAGGAAGGAATATTTTTCCCCCTAATGTATTAGATATTCATACAAAATACTACTGAAAAGCACACTGTTTGCATTAATCCCTGAGTTTTCCTTTGACATCCTGGTTGTTCATAATGGTGTGAGAGCTGTTGAGTGGAAGGGTGCATGGCAAAAGCTGGTAGAGCGCAAGGCACGAGGTTACAGCATCAAGTCCTGACTTTGCACCAGCAAAATGTGAGCTGGGACTCAACAGCTTAATCCTCTTGGACTGAGCTGCAAGCATTGAACAAGTATTTGGGAGAAACTGGAAAGAGAGGTTGGAGCTTGAGGCTACGGCAAGAATGGTCTTGGGTGGATGTGTTGCACCAGTGTGGTTGGTGATGCTCTCATGGATGCAGCAGAGCCAATGACACCCTTCAGGATGCAGCGTCTTCCCTGTGTTTTAACCATCGTTGTCCATCAGAGACACCAATGAGTGGCCGAAGGCTGGAGACACCAACGAGTGGCCGAAGGCTGCTTTTTGGAGCAGGGATGTGCCAAGCTGTGGGCGGAAGGGAAGCTCCAGCAGGGCAGGCCAGGCGGAGGCTCGAGGGCTTTAGGAAGCGAGCGGCATCCCCGTGCTCACGCCGTGTCCGTGCTCTCCATGATCCCAGAGCACGGAGCTCTCCTCGTGCCTGGCCTGGCAGTTCTCACGTCCTGGCCCTTTGCACACTCCAGGCGCTTCTCCTTTTTATGCAGAGACACTAATTTGAAGAAGCGAAGCAGCTTTCACCTTTTTTTGCTCTTTTTGACATCATGGATTTGAAGCTGGAAATGAGTCAGTGTGACGTATCTCTCAGGAACTACCAGGGAGCTGGGGAAAGTGAGGCAATGCTGTATTTTCTGAACAGATGCAAATACTTTGCTGACATGATGCAGTTTGAAATCCAAGGTAAAGTGTGAGCAAGATTAGGATGTGAGTTTTGGTCCATATTTGATCATTAATTCTTAGTTACTGTAGTGTTGCTACTGGTGGAGCCAGAATCCCAGTGACCCCCACAGAACACTAAAGCACTGCTGTCCCAGACAAGCAGAAGACTCTAGTCTTCATTGGAAGACTTCAGCACAAATTTGCACTGAATTCTATGTACTTTGGCTGAAGTCCAAGGCCTCCATATATGCATCTTCTATCCATTCATGCAGCTTATCTTCTTGCAGTTTTGCACATGCTTATGGATTATATATTTTAAAATAAGTGTAGACAGAGGCTGAATGACTTACATAAAGAGAAAGGTTGTATGTAGTAAGGATTTTCAGGAAGTGCAAACTCCCTATTCACATTTATAGACTAGTTCGAGACCAAAGGAAACATATTTCTCTGTATTTTAACTGAATGCTCTGTATTTATCCTCAGCTGCTTTTTAAGAGTTTCAGATAGCCTTTGGAGTGTTAAAGATAAGTTAGGAAGTGGGACAAGTACATGTATTTTTCTTCGTAAATATAAGAAGATAACTGTGTTTGGCTCATACGTTACCTGTGGCCTACATGAATGTCGAGGGTTAGTTCAGTTACACCTTCTTCAATGATAATGATTACAATGAATTTCATGCTGGATTTTTGTACCAGCACTTTCCCAATATTTAATTTTTTCAGTCGCTTGTGTCTTTCAATCCTCAGTGGAATAAATAGAATGGAAAATTATCTTATAATTTGCTCTTTATTTTTACTCATGGTTTATCTTATACCCCTGCAAATATATTGTCGTGTACCCTGAGACACCCCTTGTGCTGATGTGAAGAAGAGGTGGGAAGGAAGCCAAGGCACAGGGAAAATGGGCAGTTTCTCCAAGGTCACACAGCAGGTCACTAGAAGAGCCAACTGCCAATCCATTGCCTGACATTAACCTTAATGCATTGCAATGGGAATTGGAGGAGGATGGAGAAAGTGCTGAAACCGCTGCCCAAAGAGCGAATCAAGAAACGGAACTGCAGGTTTTTGGCCTTAGCAACTTCTGCTGGAGGTGGAGGGAGATTGTGAGGGCATCTGTCATTGGGTGAGAGAGTGGGTGGATTTGTGGTCAGCAGGGAGGCCAAACTGCTGCGGGATTAAGGAGGGTATTTCTGTCACTGTGACTGATTATTATTTCCCTTCTGAGCTACTTGCAACATGCAGCACCCTGAGCATTTTGCTTTGTGTGGCACTCTGAAGGTGGAAAAAACACCTAGAGGAGGACAGCATTGCAGATCCCCCACAAGGAGAGAACTTCCATGCAGATTAGGGGGCAACTTAATGAGATTGGAGTGTCATTATAAGGCCAGGAAATACAGTGAGCGAAACTGTGCTCTAGTTGTCTGAGTGAGACTTCCAGAGAGACTTGGAGCTGGGAAGTTTGTCCTTGTTAAGGAGGGCTCCCAAGGAGACTCTGCTCATGCATTTTTACTGGTACTAATGGGGTCAGGATGGGGCCTCTGGCTGTGCTGGACTTATCGAGGTGAATACTTGCCAATGCACAGAAAAGGGCTTCTGCTTTTGGAGGTCTAGAAGCAGATTCACCCCAGCAGCAAGGGAAAAGGACATAAACAGAATTTTAAAAGCAAGGGGAAGGAAAAAAAATGAAAAGAGTAAGGGAAATTAAGTGGAAAAAGAGAGCAGAAGAGATGAGTCTGAAGGAGGAGGTGTCTTCATGGGCAGACACATCTATCAATCTATCAGAATATAATGTCTGTCTGCTTCTCAATGCTTAGGAAACTAGACTGTCTATTATATAAAATTATATGTTATATAGCATTACTGCTGCTCATTTCACTACTGCCAAGTCTTTAAGGCTAAAGGGCCCAATCATGTTATTTCTGTATGAATTCCCCAAAATTATGTTTTACTCCGTGATCCCTTTGGGGAAGTGAGCTACCTTCTCCATTAGCAGATTCACATCACTAGGCTGAAACCTAAGAAATCCGTAAGACCTAAAATATTCCAAGACCTTTTCACTCACAGTGAGAGGGACAATGAAAATATCCCCCACCTAAATTGCTCTGGATGACAAGCATCCTGATACTATGGAAGTGTAGCAGGTCTTTGCCTCCACTATCTAATTTGCTTTCTCTCGCTATTTTTCTTTCTCCCTCTTCAGGAAACCAAGATGGATTACAGCTCGTTTAGTGGAGTCCCCCGATTCCTGACCCGGCCTAAGGCCTTTATGGTGTCTGTGGGGAAGGATGCCACCTTGAGTTGCCAGATCATTGGAAACCCCATCCCAGTTGTGAGCTGGGAAAAGGATAAACTTCCAGTCCAGTCCGGAGGAAGGTTTAAGACCACAGAGGATGGGGATCTATATCGACTAACAATCTATGACCTGAGCCTAGAGGATAGTGGCCAGTACATCTGCAGGGCCAAGAACACCATCGGGGAAGCATTTGCAGCCGTCAGTATCAAAGTTGGAGAGGAGACCACAGTAACAGAGTCAGCCCCATACTTCATCCAGAAACCCACCTCCATCAAAGTAACTTTGGGAGAAGATGCTATGTTCAAATGCAAAGTCCAAGGCAGCCCACCGCTTTCTGTGAACTGGGAGAAGGATGGGAAACACCTGCGGAGCCGGGCCGACGCCAACCGTTTCCAGATGGAAAGTGCCGGAGAGTCCAACGCGCTCACCATCCAGTGTGCCCGGCTTGGGGACAGTGGGACATACACGTGCCGAGCAGAGAACCCCATCGGCTCTGCCAGCGCTTCAGCTGCCCTAGTTGTGGAGACACAGGGCTCCCACAACCCGGGCAGCAGCAACTATTTTGACACCGGCTGCAGCAAGACCATCTCCTTGTTGTCTCACTTGCAGAAGAGGCGGGAGGAGATCAGGAAGACGGATATTGTCCATGGCGCTCTCGATGCCTTGTCTGCTCATCCGTATTCCGTGACGGAAGGACTGTCCGCCTTCAGCTACGGCCTCTCCCGGGATTACGAGCGGGCGGCGGGCCTCACCACCAAGGGGGCCCGCAACGCAATGTTTGGGACGCTGACGCGCACGTGCAGCGTGACGGAGGGCAAACACGCCAAGCTGAGCTGCTACGTGACGGGGGAGCCCAAGCCAGAGATCGTGTGGAAAAAGGACAACGAGGTCATTTTGGAAGGGCGGCGCCACGTCATCTACGAGGACGACCAGGAGAACTTTGTGCTGAAGATCCTCTTCTGCAAGCAGGTGGATAACGGGCTGTACACCTGCACAGCCTCCAACCTGGCAGGCCAGACCTACAGCTCTGTGCTGGTCACTGTCAAAGGTGGGTGGTTAAACGTGCTATTTGGTGGGGGCAACCTTGGTGGAGACAAGGTCAGTGCGCTCCCAAATTGGCATGGGAGTGTCAGAGTGCAGTGATCCTGGATCAGGTACTTTTAGATATTCCACACAGGCAGGATGTGATGTTTAACTTCAAATGTATACATCTGAAGATTTTGACTTTTTTACTTCAATTTTCATACTGATTTTTACAAATTTGGGATTTTGATTTAATGGAGTGATACAACAATGTACTGACATCTCAATACAGGTGTAAGTTAGACTTAGCAGAGTATAGCAGTTGCAATATACTGTTGAGTTCCAGCACAAACATGATTTTTTTTTTCATCACTGGTTTCTGTGATATGGTTATCATCACAACCGTGGACATCCCCAATCATCAGGAAGGAATACATGGGCTGAAGCCAGCTCAAGGTCCATTGCTTTCTTCAAGATTCTTTCTGTTAGTCATTCTTTATACTCCATGCTGGGGAGCCGTGTACAGGGTCCCTGCACAATGGCCTGGCTAAGGGAGACATTCACAGTCTTGAGATTGACTCATGGAAGAAACATTTACACAACCATTGGTCTACTGCGATAGAGTCTACTCAACTGATAGAGCTGCTTATCTAAAGGAAAGGGTACCCCTCCAATCTCTTTTGTACTGACATAAATTCAGTTTTCTTTGCAGTCTATTCTTCCCTGGGCTTCACGGGTACACTAATTCTGCCCATCACCTCTGAGCCTTCTTCCCTTCAGGAAGTTTATTGGCTGGTTGCAGGGAGTATGAGCAAAGATTACTCACAAAACTGCAGCAAGGGAGATGTGAATTTGATGTGTTAACCACTGGAAAAGTTTACCTGTGGAGAGGGAGAGTGTCATCACTGACAATTTACAGGAAGATTGTGAACAAGCATCAGTGATGGTTGAATGATGCCGAACTGGCCTGTTGTGGGTCAGCAGGGATGGATTAGATCTTTAAAGCTCTTTTCCAGCCTGGTTTTAGGATAATCTAAGAAATCCATTGCCATCCTTTGGTTCAGGGACTACAAAAGCCCCATTCTACCCTCCAGGGTTTAATCAAACCTTACACATACCTGTTTAAATAATAGTAGATCTGCAAGCTCCCTCTTCCTTGCAAGATGAGCGTGTGAAGCTGCCTTAGAACCCTCGGGGACCTACCCCAACTCCTGCTTCCTCCAGACCTCCTGGGCCTTTTCCCAGCTTCTGCCAGGGTGTCTCTGTCTGTTCTGGTCGGTAATGATAAGGCAAATCTGAGGTTGCCTTCAGAGAGTCTCCTGACTCTGGCAGGGGTCAGATCAAGTTAATCAGGACTGCAGGAAAGATGTGGCACAAATATTTTTACAAAGGAAGTTCTAAATTTCCTAGCTGCTCTCCCACTTGGCAAGGTGACAAGCAGCACCTATAAATTAACTTTCATCCGTGAAAGTTTTGCTTCTGTAAGGGAAGTGGTAAAATAGACTTTTCTGGCTGAGAGCAAAATGCTTTAGAAATTCAAATGGGGAGGAAAGCTGTGTGTCTCAGACCCATCTTCAAGAGTCTCTGCTTTTCCTTGTTCTGGACCTGTCCTCTCACACTCGCTGTCTTTTCCATCAGTGACTTATTCTCTGGGTCCATCAGAGACACCTGATCCATGGAGCTCTTTGGCAACAGTCCCGCTCATTGCCATCCCTGGGAGGTGCTGAGTGGTGTCAGGAAAGGCATTTGGCCTCTTCCATGAAGCTTTGACTACCTCATGAGATGGGACTCAAAGGCAAAGACTGATCCTGGCACTGTTTTATGCCCAGTCTTGCAGTATCTCCCCAGGGTCTTATCTGCCTGTTCCCAGTGGGTGCAACCTGTTCCAAAGGGGATGGGAAAAGCACGCAAAGCAGCAGGTCTGGGAGCAAGCATCACGGGAAAAGGTTATTTATCAGTGTCCATTGTCAAGAGACAACGTGTGAGAAATCGGTGAGTCAGAGGGATAAAGCAGAAATGTTTATGATCTGTTTCTTTGTTATGCTATAGCCATGTTAGGCTTTCGGATGAGGCCAAGACAGCCATGGAAAATCTGTGTGTTGGTTATAATTAGGTCTTGGATAATGACTTCCCTTTGTGCCACTAGAAGCCCTACTCAGCCCTTCAAAGACACAGCTCCAAATGATGTAGCTGCAAAGGGAGCTTTTAATCTGCTATTTATGCCATAGGTGATGTGTTATTTGCTTATCTGCTGACATGTTTTGGTGGGTAGCTCATCTTGCCAAACAATCTTCTCTTTGCTCAGTAATGTGGAAGATGCTAAATCCTCCAGGCAGCCACCTCTGTCAGCATGATGCTGCAGCATTGGTCTTTGTAAAGGTAACAACTTATTTATAGAGCCTGCGGTACTGCATCCCCAGCACACGTCTATAGACATGGATTTCTGGGAAGACAAGCATGTAGGATTCTGACTCACGTACAGCATATAGTTTAAACGGAAGAATTTGAGTGAGGGGATTTATGGGTGTGTTTAAAGGTGAGAACACAAAAGCCAAGCAAACCAGCATGCTATCTCGAGGTGGATATTAGGGATCTCTCAGGGAGCAGGACAGAGCACAGATCAGATCTCCTCTAGTCTTTCCTCTGATACCGTCAATCTAGTTTCAAGGCCTAGGGAGCCCGACACACTTGTAAGCACTTCAAGGTCACTGAGATAAAAAGAAGAGATATTTGAGCTGTTCCTAAATGAGATGTAGTGGATCAGATGTAAAACTCCAAGGAGAGGTTACAGAGCAGACTGTTACTCTCACAGTTAAGGGAAAGCTAGAGCAAGTTAATC